CTTGATCATGGCTCACTGTGGCCTTGACCCCCTGGGCTCAAGCGATCCCTTCCCTTCCGCCTCCTGAATAGCTAGGACTACAGGCACACACCATCACACCTGGCTGATTTTTTATTTACAGAGACAGGTCTCCCTTTGTTGCCCAGGCTGGTCTGGAACTCCTGGACTCAGGTAATCATCCTGCCTTAGCCTTCCAAAATGCTTGAATTACCAGCAAAAGCCGCTTACTAGGCTCAGCCAACTAATGATTCTTCTACTGAATCTCCCCCCACTAGACTGTGAGCTCCATGAGGACAAAGTGTTTGGCTACTGTTTACTGTCTCAGGCACTCCTTGATTGTGATGGGTATACCTCCTGATAAGCCTGTCATAGGCTGAAAATAACATACGTTGAAAATGTGTGAGGCTGCATGCTCAAATCTGTAATCCCAGCGCTTTGGGAGGCTGGGGTCAGAGGATTGCTTGAGCCCAGGAGCTTGAGCCAGCCTTGGTAACATAACAAGACCTCGTCTCTATATTAAATAAAAAAATTTGCCAGTCATGGTGGCTCACTCCTGTAATCCTAGCACTTTGGGAGGCCGAGGTGAAAAGATTGCCTGAGCTCAGGGATCCGAGACTAGCCTGGGCAGTTTGGTGAGACCTAGTCTCTACAATAAATTAAAAAGAAGCCGGGCTCGGTGGCTCAGCCTGTAATCCCACGCCTTTGGGAGGCTGAGGTGAGTGGATTGCCTGAGCCCGTGGGTTCGAGACCCGCCTGGGCAGCGAGACCTCATCTCTACAATAAATCAAAAAATCAGCCGGGCGTGGTAGCGCATGCCTGTAATTCCGGCTACTCGGAAGGCTGAGGCGGAAGGATCGCCGGAGCCCAGCAGGTCGAGGCTGCGGTGGCCGGGAGCGGCCACTGCACTCCAGTCTGGGCGACAGTGAGACTCCAACTCTAAAAAATAAAAATAAAAATAAAATTCATCTTCTATCAGTATAAGTAATTCTCTCTGTTCCTTTCCCCTCATCTTAATAATGTTGTTTTTTGGAATTGGAGTTGTATATACAAATAGTAGAATATACTTATGTAAAACACTAAAATACTGATGCTTTTCTCTTTAAACATAAAATGTGCTTCGTATTTCTTATTGTAATGAAACCCACATACAGAAATTAACCATTTTGAAGTGTATGATTCAGTGACATTTAGTACTTTCACAGTACTATGCAACTACCACTTCTACCCAGCTCCAAAACATTGTTATTGCCCCCAAAGAAAGCCCCACAGCCATTAAACACTGAATCTAGTTTCTTCACTTAGCATGTTTTCAGGATTCATCTACTTTGGAGCATATATCAGTACTTCATCCATTTTTGTAAGCACAAATAAGTCCATTGCATGGGTGTGCTTCATATTTTACTATTGAAGGAATCTCAAGATCCCATGAGCCCTCCTGGTGATGATCTCTACCACTGTCCGGAAGGAGATCACAAGAAACAGCCTTTTGAGGAGTCTACAAGAAACAGTGAAGATAATTTAAGGTAATTTGGGGGCACTTTGGTGAAAACTTATAAGCTGTTGGTAAGTTCCTGTTATAATCAGTTCTATATAATTAAACCATTTTTCTCCCTCAGTATATAGTTTGTTATTCTGGTTATATTTATTTTTATTTTTTAAAATGTCCCCCTAGCCTATGACCAATTGAGTGCCCCTTTTTTGCATTGCAGTAGAGAGGTAGGTATTATTTTTAGATAAGTTTGTATTCTGCATCCTTGTCAAGCAGTTCTTGTTTCCAACCTTGTTCTGCTTCTTTAAAGACCCAGTCATCCCTTCTGGGATTATATTTCCAAAAACCAAATGTTGTATAAAATATGTCTTTTTTTTTTAATCAGTCTCACTCTGCCACCCAGGCTGAAGTGCAGTGGCACTCTCACAGCCACTGTAGCCTCAACCTGCTGAGCTCAGGTAATCCTTCTGCCTCAGCCTTCCAAGTAGCTGGAACTACAGGTGTGCACCACCACACCCAGCTAATTTTTCATTTATTGTAAAGACAGGGTCTTGCCATATTGCTCAGGCAATCGTCTCCTGTGCTGGGATTACAGGTGTGAGCCACCACGCCTGGCTTGTGTTGTGTCTAATTTGTACTAATTTCCAGACGTCCGTTAACTAATAATACAGTCATCCTTCAGTATCCATGGGGGATTGGTTCTAGAACCCTTCCTTGGATATCAAAATGTGAGGATGTTCAAGTCCCTTATGTAAAATGGGGCCATTGTATTTGCATATAACCTATGCACATTCTCCCACATGCTTTCAGTCATTTCTAGATTATTTATCATACCTAACACAATGCCTACACATCCCTTCATTCACATAAATTCAACATACTGCTTGGCACACAGCAAACCGCTTTTTGGAACTTAGCAAAATTTCTTAATTAAATTAAAGTAGATTTTATAACTCTCTCTTTTTAAAAACACATTACAATAATGCACCTGCACAGAGATTAAATGTCTTGTTTAAGGCCACATAGCTCTTAAGTGCTAGAGCCAGAGATCTTAGCCAGCCCACATCTTCCAACATTGTGTCCTTTCTGCAGCTGTGACAAGTGGGTCTTGATTATGTCCAGTTCTGTGGTATAAAATTTTTATTTCTTGGAGTTGCTCATGACAAGATTTTATAACAAAATAATTGGGGTCCTCAATGGAATTTATTAAAATATTACTTTCTTACATAATAAAGTTACTTAAATTACTTAGGAAACATTTTTATAGATAGGAATATACTGGCATTGAGAGATTTTTCCTGTTTTATTTTCCTCTTTTTTTGTCATCCAAACAAAGAGAAGCCAACAACTGCATTCCATCTTAATTCTGGTTAATCATTTGTCTCTGATAAATAAGACCATACTATTCTCTATGAGCACAGGCTTTCTCGTTGTGTTTGACTTTTAATTTTTACCTATTTTTCTATGTAGATTTTCACATTCTACTTCAGAGACTTGTCCTCAAGAATTGACCGTTCGTGTGTCATCTCCCGTATTTGGAGCTGCCTCCAATGTGAGAAGTGGTCTAGGTCTGAATACGAGTTTGTCCCCCTCTCTTTTAGAGACTGGGAAGAAGAAACATCTGAAAACAGCCCCTTTTAGCAATACTTCTATTTCTAGATCAGAGAAAACGAGGTCAAAATCTGAAGATAGCGCCCTTTTCACACATCATAGTCTTGGGTCTGAAGTGAACAAGGTCATTAGCCAGTCATTCTCCAATAAACAAATACTTATAAGTAAAAACATAAGTGAAGCCACAGGTGAGCAGGACAGTCCTGATCACATTAAAGATGCCTCTACTGAGAGACATTTGGAGCCCCTGAAACCCCTGGGAGCCAGAACGTCCAAAAGGAAGAAAACCGAAGAAGAAAGTGAGCATGAAGTAAGCTACCCCCAAGCCTCTTTTGATAAAGAAAACGCTTTCCCTTTTCCAACGGATAATCACTTTTCCATGAATGGGGACTGTGCAATGGACAAACCTCTGGATCTGTCTGATCGGTTTTCAGCTCTTCAGCGTCAAGAGAAAAGCCAAGGAAGTGAAACCTCCAAAACCAGATTTCGGCAAGTGACTCTTTATGAGGCTTTGAAGCCCGTTCCAAAGGGCTTTTCCTTAAGCCGGAAGGCCTCAGGTGGGAGCTGTGTGTTGCCCAAAGACTCCCCAGAGGAGCCCTGTTTACAGGAGTGCGTCGTCCTCCAGCCCTTGAGTAAATTCTCTCCAGACAACAAACCGTTACAAATAAAGGAAGAAAATCCTATCTTCAAAATCCCTCTGTGTCCACGTGAAAGTTTGGAGACAGAGAATCTTTTTGATGACATGAAGGTTTGTGTTAAACGTTCAAGGATTTCAATTAAAATGGTTGTTTGTGATTCCATCTAGATGCTAACAGTTACTTCTGTTTTAGGGTACTGGTTCTCAAGAGCTAATAAAAATAAAAACCAGGTCAGTCCATGGAGGATGTGAACTTGCATCAGTACTTCAGTTAAATCCATGTAGAATTGCTAAAACAAAGTCTCTACAAAGCAGCCAAGGTGTGTATACTCTGAGTAGGATTTTCACTTTTTTTTAATAACTTCAAATTGGGTATTATGTAATTTTCATTCTTTGGATAGAGTGAATTGTTTTAGAAAAAAAATCTTATTTCTTCCCACATGTCTGTATTTATGGGATGATTTTCATTGCTTTCTTTCTTTTTTTTATGTTTTGAGTTGGAGTCTCACTCCATTGTCCAGACTGGAGTGCAGTGGCACTCTTCCGGCCACCGCAGCCTCGACCCGCTGGACTCCAGCGATCTTTCCGCCTCAGCCTTTCCAGTAGCCAGAATTACAGGCACGTACTACCACGCCCGGCTGATTTTTTTTTATTTATTGTAGAGATGAGGTCTTGCCAAATTGCCCAGGCGGGTCTCAAACCCATGGGTTTAGGCAATCCACTCACCTCAGCCTCCCAAAGCACTGGGATTACAGGCTGAGCCACTGAGCCCAGCTTTCATTACTTTCATTTTACCTGTGATTTTTCTACTCTTGTGCTTTTTGAAAATATGAGATATTTTGATACATACTTTTATAGGTCATTTTAATTGACTTTTAAGTAGTTATTTATCATTTTATTTATAAAAACTTTAAATATTTTAAACTATTCAGAATTTTTAAAAATAAAAATTAGAAGTTTTATCTAAATCTATTTCTTCATCCCGTAGAAAACTTGTTTTTCTCTGCATTTACATGTATATCTGTAAACATATGTATACATTTACACAGGTTTTTAAACTTCTTGTTTGAAAACATCGTTTGCCCTACTATGTATATGCATCTTTTCATAATTTTGCTGTTTAAAAGGAATCTTTTTGTTTCTTCAGCCACCAAATAGTTCCAAAGTTCATATGCAGTATTTTTTCTTTTATTATTCATTAGCAGGTTATTTCTTCATTCTAGGTTTATCCCTTTTTTCCTGAAACACATTCTTTACTTCTTCTAGTGAGGGTTTCAGTGTCTGTGTGAAAACTTTTCACTCTCATTTGTGAATTTTTTTTAGCTTTTCATTTTAATTGTCATGGTTGCTTTAGGGATTACAATATACATAACTTAAACTTTCACAGTCTACTTGGAGTTAATACTGTACCACTTCATGTTCTGTAACTTTACGTTATATAGTTGTCATGTATTATATCTACATACATTGAAAATTCCTCCAATGTTATATGTTTAAATTTTAAAAAACATTTTGTTTAAATACAATCACATACCATAAAAATCACTCATTAAAGTGTCAAATTCAGTGGTTTTGCTATACATCACCACAGTTAACTTTGAAACATTTTCATCACTTTCAATCCCACCCCTACCCCACTCCACCACCCAGCTCCTGGCACCATGAATCTACTTTTTGTCTTCATAAATTTGCCTATTCTGGAATTGTATGAATGGAATCATTCAAGATATGATCTTTTGCGACTGACTTCCTTCACTTGGTGTAATGTTTTCAATTTTCATCTATTTGAAGCATGTTTCATTCCTTTTTATTGTTGAATTACATTTCATTGCATCAGTATACCATGTTTTATCCACTTACCAGTTGACGAGCATTAAAGTTTTTTCCACTTTTTTTTGCTGCTGTGATTAATACTATGAACATTGGTGTACAAGTTTTTGTGTGGATGTATTTTCATTTTTCTTTGGTTATACCTAGGAGTGGAATTGCCAGACCATATGCCAACTCTGTGTTTCACCCTTTGAAGGATTCCTGACTGCTTTCCAAGGCAGCTATACCATTTCACATTCCCACCAGCAGTGTGTGAGGGCTCCAGTTTCTCCACATCCTTACTAACACTTATTACCTGTCTTTTTTTATTCTAGCCATTCTAGTGGATATGAAGTGGCATCTTATTGTGGTTTTGATTTGTATTTTCTATGATTTGTAAAAAAATTTTCTAATCTGTAGGTCCTATAAATGTTTTTAAATGATGAGAACTTTTGAAATCAGTTTTTTAATTGCATATTTTCTTCTCTTTATCTAAGGTAACTCCTTTGAAAATATCCAGTGGAGTGTAGATCCAGGAGCAGACCTTTCTCAGTATAAGATGGATATTACTCTCATAGATACAAAGGTAAGTTAAAAAGTAAAACCAAAGCCTTTTAGTTCTTATTCTACTGAGTTGTTAGTCAGCCTTCTCTCCTTACTATGACCATGAGATAATCAAATACCCTTTAAAATCTACATTAATTCATTCAGAAAAGAAATAAAAATGCTTGTTTTTCCAACTTTGTGGTACTTTTTGAAAGAGTAATAGTATTTTCTGACTTTAAAGGCCTTTGCTGAAAGACATTAATGTAGTTTTTAAAATAATGTAAAATGCTAGTTACATGTTTCAGATCATTTTATTTTTTCTTAAAATAATTTGACATATGTTTTGATAGCTTTAAGGTAATATGCCATTAAAAAATATTTTCCCAGTTGACTCTTTTTAAAATACCGTATTTTTAAAAATTAAAATTTGCTGGGCTCGGTGGCTCAACCTGTAATCCCAGCACTTTGGGAGGCCGAGGTGAGTGAATTGCCTCGGCCCACGGGTTCAAGACTCGCCTAGGCAACTTGGCAAGACCTCATCTCTACAATAAATAAAAAATTAGCTAGGCGTGGTAGCGCGTGCCTGTAGTTCCAGCTACCTGGAAGGCTGAGGTGGAAGGATCGCTGGAACCCAGCAGGTCGAGGCTGTAGTGGCCGGGAGTGGCCACTGTGCTCCAGTCTAGGTGACAGAGTAAGACTCCAAAAAAAATTTTTTTTAAATAAAAAAATTAAAAAATGTAAAATTTAAATTTATAGTGTAAATACTTTTTTGCCATGTATTTAGGTTCTATGTCGTTTGAAAAGTTTGCTTTCACTTGATAGCATACTATTAACAAAGTATTTAACAGTTGCTAGAGTAACAGATACTCATCAAGAAATCAAGTTTGGTTTTTGAAATTATTGTTCTCATTGTACTTTGATGTCTGCTTCCTGTGAGGCGGATTGGAGAAGAAAAGCAGGAAAAGTTCAAGGGAGTCCGGTGGTAAATAATTCTCCCTTTCCTTGGCTGCAGTTCTTCTTTTCTTAGACTTCAGAGAGAAGATGCTTGTATATTGATGCTAAAATGTCTTACAGGCAGTAGAATCTGAATCTATATCTGTTCCTAAAGTATAAAAGTAAATAGAACTTAATGCTTAAAAATGGTACATTTTATATTGTGTATATTTACCAAAATTTCTTTTTTGTAAAAAGTAAATATAAGACCATAAAGGAATAATTATTAAAATTTTTAAAATATTTACTCAGGATGGCAGTCAGTCAAAATTAGGAGGAGAGACAGTGGACATGGACTGTACATTGGTTAGTGAAACCATTCTTTTAAAAATGAAGAAGCAAGAGCAGAAGGAAGAAAAAAGTCCAAGTAAGATTTGTTTTTGCTTTTATTTTAATAAAAATGTAGAGTAAATTTTGTAGTTGTACCATGCATTGAATAGCCCAAGTGACGGCTTAATCAGGTTTTTTTTTTTCTGCTGTTAATTTTATGTTCCTCCTAGGAAAGCTCTGTTTCAGTATTTCAGAAAAAAACTCTTTAGCCAAAATAATTTTATTTTGGAAAGGATTCGGATGACTTCCAGGGGTCAACAAATGGCAGCGAGCTGCCAGTTTTATAAATAAAGTTTTACTGGAGCTCAGGGTCATTTATTTGTTTATGTGTTGTTACTTGCGGCTGCTTGTCCATGCAATGGCAGAGTTGAGTAGTTGGTGCAGACACCTCATAGCCCCACATGTCTCAAAAACTTGCTGTCTGACCCTGCAATAAAAAGTTTGCTGATCTTAGCCGGGCTCAGTGGCTCAGCCTGTAATCCCGCGCCTTTGAGAGGCTGAGGTGAGTGGATTGCCTGAGCCTGTGGGTTCGAGACCCGCCTGGGCAGCGAGACCTCATCTCTACAATAAATCAAAAAATCAGCCGGGCGTGGTAGCGCATGCCTGTAATTCTGGCTACTTGGAAGGCTGAGGCGGAAGGATCGCCGGAGCCCAGCAGGTCGAGGCTGCGGTGGCCGGGAGCGGCCACTGCACTCCAGTCTGGGCGACAGAGTGAGACTCCAACTCAAAAAAAAAAAAAAAGTTTGCTGATCCCTAGCGTAGACATTTTTTAGAAATGGTGTAGCAGGGAATCTTAAAAGTCCAGTGTTATTAGAATTGTGGTTTTCTAAAGCAATTTGACAGGGAAAGACAGCGAATTTCTACTGAGTCTAAATTAGTCTTGATTCACACATCAGCACTAAGAATGATGGTATGTGTGCCGAGTTCGTCTGCTGTATTCTGCCTCTGCTGATAAGGTAATTAGGCCAGATTAGTGCTCTACAGTCTTTTGTAGCGAGAAACTGTCAATTTTTCACCCAAATTTTTGATTTTCCAAAACAGGTGGGAAGATTTTGGTTGGCATTATCTTAAGAACAGCCCAAACTGTAGAGGAAGGTGACATAAGAACAGCTAGACTAGAACAGTTGTCATTGTTCACTCTTATGTCTTACCACATGATGCAGTGCGAAAGCAGGGGCATTTCTCAAGGCTCATCTATCAGAAACTGAGGGCATGCAGACTGTATGTGCGTTTTTAATCTTCTGCTGAATTTTCTGTAGTCTACCTGTTCCGGACCAAAAAATAAAACAGCAGTCTTGCCCTGGCTTCTTTTGAATCAACTTACTTCTTGCTGCCTTAAATGCAGTTAAGTGAGAAAAAATTTTAAGGTTTAATAACTGTTTAATCATTTATTAAATATCAATTAAAAATTCTGTACTGTGGCCAGGTATGGTGGCTCATGCCTGTAATCCCAGCACTTTGGGATACCAAGGCAGGAGGATTGCTTGAGCCCAGAATTTTGAGACAAGCCTAAGCAACATAGCAAGATCTCATCTCTATTTTTTAAATTTTAAAAAATTAGCCCAGCGTGGTGGCGCATACCTTTAGTGCTAGCTGCTCAAGAGGCTGAGGCAGAAGGATCATCTGAGCCCCTGAGGCTGAGGCTATAGTAAGCCATGATTATGCTACTATACTCCAGCCTAGGCGACAGAGACCCCAAACTCCAAAAAAAAAAAAATTAAAAAAATATGTATGTATGTACTGGGAAATATTCTAGGAACTGGAGGTAATGAATAAACAGAACAAAAGTACTTACCTCATGTCACTTACACGCTAATGAACGAGAAACAAGCAAGTCTGTATATGATATATAATGGTAAGTGCAGGAGAAAGATAAGCCAAGTAAGTGAGAGAGCACCCAGACTGGGAGAGGTAGTGGTTATGTTACAGAGTAGTCGTGGTAGGCCTGTGTTCTGTCATATTTGGTAGCCAACTTGATGTATTCTTTTTTTTTCTTGAACTCTGGTGTTTTAAAAGGTATATTAATATAATGGGGAAAGTAGTTAGATCTCTGAAGATGAATTTGTCACTTTTACATATCAGATATGTCCTTGAATTCATTGTTTCTATTAATACTAAGCTAGCAAGTACTAATGATGAGGCAAGAGATGCTTTTTTTTTTTGCTACTTCATTAGAAAAATAAGCATGAGTAAAGGACATTTAAAGCTCTAACATAAAGCCTTTGTAAATGTTCAGTAACTGTCCAGACATGCACAAATTGTACGAATTGAACCGCGTTGTAAAAATCATGATTTAAAAGTGTCTTAAACACTTTATTACATACATTCTAGTTTGTTACCCACTTGCAGTCACTGAATTAACACTCGTAGTATTACGGCTTACTACTGATATTTTTAGAATCATCTTTTTAACTTGGTCCGTGAACACTTCACTACATATGTCATATCTTGAAACCCTCATTGTAATCATGTTTTAAAGAAGTGTCTTTACACACTTCATTATATATATTACCATCTGTTACTTATAGTCACTGTATTATCACTCTTAACCAGCCACTTGTGATTAACACTCTTAGAATCATCTTTTACATGTGCCTGCAAGTACCTCACTGCCTACTTTGCATCTATTCCATAAAAGAACACATTTCAAAGTAAAGTTTGTAATTCATATTTTAAGAACCATGTATTAAGAAGTGTCTTTAAAGACCTCATTACATTATTTTAGAGTAGTTACCATAAGTTTCATGTTGATCTATATAGAAAACAAAAAACTCGCTTGTTGTCCTAAGCCAGTGCTCTTTCAACATAGATGAAGAAGGAAAAATGAATGACAGCTTGGAAGACTTGTTTGATCGGACAACACATGAAGAGTATAAATCCTGTTTGACAGATAGTTTCTCTCAAGTAGCAGATGAAGAGGAGGAATTGTCTGCTGCCACAAAGAAACAAAACAGTAAGGCTATTTTCTTTTAATTATGGCATCTCAGTTACGCTGAGTCCAGTGAATTAAGTTGTCAGTCTAATTAACAGAGTCTTGATGAGGTATATCAACAATTAAAGTTTTATGTTTCTTGTATAAATTTCTTCCTCAGTTGTTTTTTAATTTTGAGATAATTTTACACTATCAAAGAGTTCCAAAAAATAGTTCAGAGGGTTCTCCTATACCTTTCACTCAACTTCCCTTTATGTTGACATCTTACATAGCCATAATTTATTAGAATTAAGAAATTATTAGCCAAGTGTGGTAGCACATGCCTAAAGTCCCAGCTACTTGAGCTTGAGCCTAGGAGTCTGAAACTGCCATGAGCTATGATCACACCACTGCAATCTTGCCCAGGCAATAGAGTGAGACCCCCCATTCAAAAATAAAAACTAAGAAAATTAATGTAGGTTTGAGGCTATAAATTTCTTTATAATCTACAAAAACATGTATAAATGTTTCAAGAAACTTCTGTTAATTAACAAATTAATGATTATAATAAAGTAGAAGGAGAAAGTTTTGCGGAAAACTGAGATTCACTTTCTGCTGTGAAAGTTTTATCTTTCCAGACGAAATACCTAATGTAACTATATGCATATCAGCCCTATCATCTGTTTCACTAGGGGCAGTAATTTATAATGTAGGGTAACAATCAAAAGAAGAATACTCTATGAAACTGAAATTCTTAAGTAGGTAATCTGGATTGAAAATTAGTTAAAATTCTCACTAAATATCTTATTTTCCTGTGGTGAGTAAAGCAGTCAGAATTTTTCATCTAATGCAAAGATTGTTTTGTACTAGTTTATGAACATACCTTTAAGTGACAGCCCTTAGTTCAAAGGAAATTAGACCTTAACCAAAGATACAGAACAGTAGGCTTTTGCTTGCTTAGTCTATGGCAAAAGCTTAATCAAGTAAATTTTGTAATAAAAAACTTGCAGCTCTTCAGTACTGGATATGTTTTTTTCTCCAAGAAGAACCTTTTCAAATTGATTTTACGTCAAAGAAAGAAATACATGTATATAATAAGAATATATATAAAAAGAATATACATATTCTCTTTATATATATTTAGAATTGTTGGATGCTTGTGAGGATTTGCTATAAATATATTAAATGAAGGTGAGGTTTGGGTTTTTGATGATCCCCCACAACCCTCCCAATAAAAGACATAGTATCCAGTGTGTGGCTGTGTGTCTCCTATCACCCCTCCCTCCCTCCTTTAGTAGTGCCCAGCATCTGTTGCTCCCGTCCTTGTGCCCATGTGCCCACTTGTGAGTAAGAACATGCAATATTCAGTTTTTTGTTTCTGTGATAATTCACTTAGAATGATGGTCTCTAGCTGCATCCATGTTGCTGCAAAGGACATGGTTTTTTTCTTCTTTATGACTGCGTAGTATTTCAACATGTTTTATGTACCACATTTTCTTTATCCAGTCCACCTTCGATGGGCATCTGGGTTGGTTCTTTGTATCTGCTATTGTGAATAGTGCTACAGTGAACATATGTGTACAGGTGTCTTTTTTGGTAGAATGATTTATATTCCTCTGGGTATATTCCCAACAGTGAGATTGCTGGGTCAAATGGTAGCTCTATTTTTTAGGTTGAGAAACCTCCAAACTACTTTCCACAAAGATTGAACGAATTTACATTCCCACCGACAGTATACAGGCATTCTGTTTTATTCAAAGTCGTTCCAACACTTACTGTTTTTTGACTTTTTAATGATAGCCATCCTGACCCGTGTGAGGTGGTATGTCACTGTAGTTTCAGTTTGCATTTTTGTGATGATTAGTGATGCTGAACATTTTTCATGTTTATTGGCTGCTTGTATGTCTTCCTTGAGAAGTGTCTGTTCGTGTTCTTTTTAATGGAGTTTTTTTTTTTCCTGTCAATTCATTTGAGTGTGTGTGTGTGTGTGTGTGTGTGTGTGTGTGTTATTTATTTATTTATTTTTGATTCTGTTGCCCAGGCTGGAGTGCAGTGCCAAAGTCACAGCTCATTACAGCCTCCAACTCATGGGTGCAAGTAATCCTCCCACCTCAGTCTCCCAAGTAACTGGGATTATAGGCACGCACTACCACACCCAGCTAATTTTTTTTTTTTTTTTTTGTCGAGACAAGTATCCCACTGTGTTGCCTAGGCTGGTCTCAACCTCCTGGCCTCAGGCAATCCTCCCACCTCAGCCTCCTAAAGTGCTAGGATTCCAGGTATGAGCCACTGCACCTGGCCTATTTGAGTTCCCTATGGATCCTGGATGTTAGCCTTTGTCAGAACATAGTTTGCAAATATTTTTTTCCCATTCAGTGGGTTGTTTCTTTACTCTGTTGATGCTTTCTTTTGCTGTTCACAAACTTTTTAGCTTGATAAGGTCCCACCTGTTGATTTTAGCTTTTGCTGCATTTGCTTTTGAGGACTCGGCCATGAATTCATTGCTTAGACTGATGTCCATAAGGGTGCTTCCTAGATTTTCTTCTAAGATTCTTATAGTTTGAGGTTTCAAATTTAAGTCCTTACTCCATTTTGAGTTAATATTTGTATATAGTGATAAGTAGGGGTCCAGTTTCATTCTTCTGCATATGGTTAGCCAGTTTTCTTAGGATCATTTGCTAAATATAGCTTCCTTTCCCCAATGTTCGTTTTTATCAGTTGGTTGAAGGCCTGTGGTTTTATTTCCAATTCTCTATTTTGTTCCACTGACCTTTGTGTCTATTTTTATACCAGTACCATGCTGTTTGGGTTACAGTAGCCTTGTAGTAAAGTTTGAAATCTGAGAGTGTGGTGCCAAAAAAGGCGGTGCTACAAATGACCTGAAAAAATGCAAAGGATTACAAGAGATTACTAAGAACATCTGTATTCAAGTAAGCTAGAAAATCTAGAGGAAATGGAGAAATTCCAAGCAATGTAAAACCTTCCAAGATTGAAGCAGGAAGAAATTGAAATGCTAAACAGACCCAATCCAAGAAATTGATTCAGTAATAAGAAACCTCTTCCCAAAAAAGCCCTGGGCCAGATGGTTTCTCAGCTGAATTCTATCCAGCATACAAGGAAAAACTGATACCAGTCCTACTGAAGGTTTTCCAAGCAATCGAGAAAGAAGGAATCCTCCCTAGCATATTTTTGGAAGCCAATATCATTCTGACATCAAAAAATGGCAACAAGAAAGAAGAAAATGAGGCAAATTTCCCTGGTGAGCATAGATACAAAAATCATCAACAAGATACTAACACATCTAGCACATTACAAGGATCAGTCATCATGACCAAGTGGGCTTCATACCTAGAATTCAAGGCTGGCTCAACATACGTATTAGGTCTGTGGGATAGGCCAGTGCCACAGGAATAAAGCAAAGAATTGCACAGAAATAAGATTAGGAAAAATAGTTTATTTAGAAAGTAGATTGGAGAGAGGGAAAGTATAGGGAGGAACAAGAGCTTAAAGAGAAGCATGGCCCGGCCAGAGCTTTAATGAAAACATGGCTAAGACAAAGCACAAAAACACGGGGGCAGCTGCTGGAGATTGAATGCTTTTAAGGCTTTCCTTTGGTGGGGGTGAGTTGTTAAGTTGTTTGGGTGGTGGTTTTACGTTATTACAAAGGGGGCAACTAAGCTCAGGAACTGATGTCACAGTGATGGTCAGCAGGCAGATGGGTGGATTAGTCACATAACTGTTGTCATGGTGATGGAGTCTGTGTCACCAAGGTCACGAAGGGCTGCTTCATGGCTGGAAGACAAATACTTGGAATAGAAAAATGATCAGTACCTGGGGGGTGGCAAGACAATTATCAATAGCTACCTCTGGGAAACTGGTTCTGTCCTTTGTTAATGATAAGAGGGCAAGCTAGGTAATTTGCTAAGAAAATATGGCAGAGCTAAGCAGTGTTAAAATGGCTACACTTTAGCAAAGGTGACGCCATTTTTTTTATTTCACACCTTCAATACACAAATCAATACGTGTAATCTACCCTATAAACAGATGTAAAACCAAGATCCATGTGATTTTATCTCAGTAGACACAGAAGAAGCATTTGACAACAAAAAAAATGTATTCTTTTACAAGGTATACTTATCAGTTTCTGTTTTTTGTTTTTTGTTTTTAAGTTATATTTCTTACTAACCATGCCAGAATTTCTTCTCACTTAGCTTTTGTGATAATGCTATACTGTTCTTTTGATCTCTGGCAACTTTTGTTACCAAGTGTATCCCCAAGACTCCATCTTTGTCACTCACATTTTTTCTCTTACATCTTTTATTAAGCACCAATGAAAAATGCTCCAAATCTGCACCCCTAGGTTTGACTTCTCCACTGGATCCCAGTCCTGCATTTCTGAGTCATTGATAGACACTTTTGTGTCATTTCAGCTTAAACTTAATATGACTAAGCCAGTTTCCATTTATTGCCTACCAAGTGACTTTCAACGCCCCCTGCCCCCGGCACCCAGGCATATAATTTAGGATTTATTGTGCAATTATTTTATTTTCCCAACCCCCATATCACAAAGTCCTACTTGGTCTTTCCTTATAGGAAAGAACAGGTTTGGGGGAGAATATCAAAAGCTCAATTCTGACATGTTATAATACTTACTAGACATTCAAATGGAAGCATTTAATAGACAGTTGGCATGTGTCTAGAGTCTGGACAAAAAATATGGAATAAAGAAATAATTTGGTGGCAGGGGGTCAACAATGAGTGGTGGTACTTAAAGCTGTGAAATTAAATGAGATTACCAAGGGGTTGGATATGAGTGGAAAAGAGAAGCCTTTCAAGCTCTGACCTCTGGGGCGTGGCAACTTTAAGAGATCAGAGAAACAAAGAGGGACAAACAAAGGAGGCTGAGGAGCTGTAGCCTGTAACAGAGTGGAAGCAAGAGTGTGTGCTGTTCTGGAAGCCAAGTGAAGATGTTTCTTTATATTCATTACTCTCCGCCTAGTCTTTTCTCTTTTGAACCCAACTTGAATCCAGCTTTTGACATCTTATAAGCATTTTGAACTTAATATAGTCAAGTTAGAAGTCTATTTTTCTACCCAAATTTGACTTTCCCCTGCCTCTCTGAGTCTCATTAAACTTTAGTAACTGTCCACCCAGTTGCTAAAGAGCAAAATGTAGGAGTCATATTTTAGGTTTTTTTTAACTCACCTTCATGCACAGTCTACTCCCCTGGCAGTACTATCTGCAAACACTTCTCTCCATCTCTGCAGCCACCACCTTCATCTAAACCACAGCTATTTCACCTGTCCTATTGTAGGCCTCCTGGTCTTTTAATATCAGGTATTTCTCCTCTCCAGTCCATTCTCTGCAGAGAATCAAAGGGGTTTGTTTTAAATGTAAATTGCATTTTGGCGGGGGAGAGGGCTTAAAATTCTTCAATGGAAATAAGAGCTTTGAATGCTAGTAAGCACATGAAAATATTCTCAGCATTATTGGACATCAGGGAATGAAATACCACTTCATACCCTCTGAAATGTTTAAAAAGACTGACAGTATGTAGTATTGGCAAGGAAGAAGAGTATCAGGAGCCACCCATACATTGCTGATGGGAGTGTAAAATTGTTAGTATTACTTTGAAAAACAGTTTGGCAGGGTTTGTTTGTTTATTTGTTTGTTTAACAGCTCTAGGGAGGTTTGTCATTTTTTTGTAAAGTTAAGCATACACCTAGTCTATTACCCAGAAATTCATCTTCTAGGTAAATAACCAAGAAAAATGAAAACGTGTTTATGAAAAGATGTGTTTGAGAACATTCATAGCAGCACATAATAGCTCAAAACAGGAAACAACCCAAATGTTCATCAATAGGTGAATAAAGAAGTTGTGACAGTTCATCAATAGGTGAATAAAGAAGTTGTGACATATTCACATAATGCAATATTACTCATCAACAAAAAGAAGAGAACTGCTAGACCCAATGACATGGATGAATCTCCAAAATTTGCTGAGCTAGAAAATTCAAAGGAAGAAAAGTCGTATTATAAAATTCCATTAACATGAGGTTCAAAGACAAGCATAACTAAGCTATGGAGATAGAAATCAAACCAGTGATTGTGGTGGGTGGCAGAGATATTCTTGTGCACGAGAAATGAATACGAGGTGACTTTTAGGGGTGTTAGAAATGTTCTCTGTCTTGACTTGGATAGTGTATTACACTGGAATATACATTTATCAAAATTCATCATAGTATACTTAAAATCAGTGTATTTTGTATGTAAGTGATACCTCAATAAAGTTGATTTAGACACAAAAGTCTTCCATCGTTTCCAATTGCACTTAAATTTAAGCCCTTCTTTTGGCTTCCAAGGTCCATCATGATCTGGTACCTGGCCACTTTCCCAACCTCATCTCCCCCAACACTTCCCTTTCTTCACTAAAACTCGCCACACTACCTTTAGTTGCTATAACATACCAAACTTTTTCTCACCTCAGGACTTCTACCCACATTCCCGGCCCCACATCTGCTTAATGTTTAACAGTCTGCTTGCTTGATGTTCATTTTCTTCCTTGTAATGTGAACTCAATGAGGACAGGTGACATGGTCTTTTCTTGGTCTACATGATACATCCAGAACTTAGCCCAGTGTTCAGTAAGTTTTGCTTCTTTGATGATAGCAGTTTGTCTAGATATCTAAGAGATGTCTGTATAGAGTATAGATTTCTTGGGATTCAGGTCCCAAGTTCTGAGCTCTGTTTCTTACATTTTGTCATCACTCTTCTGATTATCTTTTTATTATAGCCTACCTTATAGACACATTATAAAAATAAGCAGAATTGGTGTGAATGTAAAATAGGGTAGCCATTATGGAAAATAGTATGACAATTCCTCAAAAAACTAAAAATAGAACTACTATGTGATCCAGAAATCCCGCTACTGGCTATCCATCCAAAGAAAAGGAAATCAGTATATCAAAGAAATATCTTGGCCAGGCGTGGTGACTTACACTTGTAATCCCAGCACTTTGGAAGGCCAAGACAGGAGAATCACTTGAGCCCAGTAATTTGACACCAGCCTAGGCAAAATAGTGAGACCTCATCTTTTAAGAAATCAAAAGTAGCCAGGCGTGGTGATGCACGGGTCGAGGTTGCAGTGAGCCATGCGGCACTCAAGCCTGAGCAACAGAGTGAGATCCAGACTTAAAAAAAAACAAAAAACAAAAAAAGAAATATCTGCACCCCCATATTTATTGAAGCACTACTCACAATAGCCAAGACATAGAATCAGCCAAAGTGGTCATAAACAGATGAATGGATAAATAAAATGTGGAATATATTCACAATGGAATACTATTTAGCTATAAAAAAGAACAAAATTCTGTTATTGTAGAAACATGGATGAGCTTAGAGAACATTATATTAGGTGGAATAAGCCAAACAGAAATATAAATGAAATGCCACGTGTTCTCACTCATATTTGGAAGCTACAAAAGATGATCTCCTAGAAGTAGAGAGTAGAATAGTGGTTTCCAGAGGTGGGGAAGTAGGGGATAACCAAAGGTTGGGTGATGGGTACAAAAGTACACCTATAGTCCCTCCTTTGGAGGCTGAGACAAGAGGATTGCTTGAGGCCAGGAGTATGTAGTCCACACTAAGTTCTGGCATCAATTTGGTGATCTCTCAGGAGCAGGAGACCACTGGGTGGCCTAAAGGAAGAGGCGAGCCAGCCCAGGTTAGAAATGGAGCAGGTCAGAACTCCTGTGCAGATCAGTAGAAGAGGGATCATGCTTGTGAACTGCCACAGTCCTCTAGTCTGGTCCACATAACAAGACCCAGTCTCTAAGAAAAGTCAATAATAAGACAAGGCTTGGTGTCTCATGCCTGTAATCCCAGCACTTTGGAAGGAGGAAGTGGGAGGATCTCTTGAGCCCAGGAGTTCAAAACAGTCTGCACAACATAGCAAGACCTCATCTCTTCAAAAAAAAAAAAAAATTTTTTTTTAAATTAGTCTGGCACACTGCCCAGGGTGGGGACACATAACATCAGTAAGGGTACCCACACTTTACCTGTATGATGACCGTGTATGCATCTGACCCTCATGTGTACCCCACATTTTTAAAATAAAATAATTATTTTTAAAAATTAGTCTGGCATAGCAGTGTGTGTCTATAGTCCCAGCTACTCGGGAGGCTTATGCAGGACAATTGCTTGAGTCCAAGAGTGGAGGCTGCAGTGAGCTATGATCATGCCACTGCACTCTACCCTGGATAACAAAGTGAGACCCTGACTCAATAAATAAATAAATAATAACAAAGCACAGCTAGACTGGAGGAATAAGTTCTGTGTTCTATAGCACTATAGAGAGACATAATTAACAACAATTTATTGCTTATTTTCAGATATCTAGAAGCATGGATTTTGAATGTTACCAACACACAAAAAATCAGTATTTGAAGCGATGGATATCCTAATTACCTTGATTTAACAAACTATCACACTGTACCTTATAAAGATGTATAATTATATGTAAATTTAAAATAATGCAAACAAAAAAGTTTTTAATCAATAGGATTAATAAGTGGGACATATTAAAAGCCGTATTGTATTGTTCTTTTTTGTTAAATGATAATGGGCATCTGTGTAATTCTTTTAAACTCTAAAATCCTTTCTGAGATATGATTTTTAGCTGTCCAGTAATTTTGAGATGAAACAATTAGCACCCTCTGCAGATGAAAAAGAAAGAAAAAAATAGTTACAGAAAATTCAAATGAGTTTCCCAGGGGTCTAAAGTAAAACCCAATAAAAATGGAAGTTTGGCCTGGCACAGTGGCTCAAGCTTGTGATCCTAGCACTTTGGAAGACCGAAAGACTGCTTGAACCAGGAGTTTGAGACCAACCTGGACAACACAGTAAGACCTTGTCTCTCCAAAAAATAAAAAAATTAGCTGGCATGGTAGCACATGCCTATAGTCCCATATACTCAGAAGGCTGAGGTGGAAGGATCGCCTGAGCCCAGGAAGTTGAGACTGCGGTGAGCCATGCCACTGCCCTCCAGCCTGGGTGACAGAGTAAGAGCCTAACTCAAAAAAAAAAAAAAAAAAAATGGAAGTTTGAGTACATGTCATTTCTTGCAAACTAGCCATTTACTTCATATTAAGTTTTACATGCAATTTGTGATGTGCTTGTTTTGTTTACAGTTCATGGTGACAAGCAAGATAAAGTCAAGCAGAAAGCATTTGTGGAGCCATATTTTAAAGATGATGAAAGGTAAGTGTGATTGAAAAGTACAACCAAGCAGTCTGTGTCAGAGCGTCTCTAAGCTGTTGTATTGCAATTTGGTTAACATAGAGTCACTTACTTTATAGTCATAACAAAGAAAGGTGTCAAGCATAAAAATGGCAAGTTTCACAAAGAAAGAAATTTTTTTACCACCACCACTCTTTTTTTGACGGTGATTATTGTTATTTTCTCTGCTTTATTATAACAAATACTGTATTTTCGTTCTATTTTTTTTGAACTTTGGGAATTTATTAAATCATGTACTCTAACTTTTATGTAGTATAAGACTTTTGGTGGTGAGCCTTAGCTTGTTAGGCTTCAGAATTATTTTATAAGGGTTTTATTTTAATCTTTTAAAATACCATTTAAGCTTCTTGATTTTGAACCATAATACTATGTTCTGCCTTTTATGCAAGGATTGCAAATTATGTTACTTTCAGTCACATACAACTTGTCCTTGAAGTGAATTCAAGACACAGTAATCCATTTTTTTTTAAAGTTATACTTTTTTTCCTTAAGTTATGATGTTGGTAAATCAAGTTACTCAATAAGTTATCTTTTTTGTTTTGTTTTGTTTTGTTTTGTTTGTTGTTGAGTTGGAATCCCACTCTGTTACCCAGGCTGGAGTACAGTGGCATGTTCAGGCCACCCCATTGTTGACCTGCTGGGCTCTGGCGGTCCTTCCACCTCAGCCTTTCAAGTAACTAGAACTACAGGCACGCACTACCACACCTAGCTAATTTTTTTTTAAAATTCATTTATTGTAGAGATGAGGTCTTGCCAAGTTACCCAGGCTGGTCTCGAACCCATGGACTCAGACAATCCACTCACCTCGGCCTCCCAAAGTACTGGGATTACAGACTGAGCCACCAAGCCAGCCTGTTATCTTTTTTAAAATTTTATTTCTATTGAGAATTTTAGAAATCTAACAGGCCAAAATAAGGTGTTTTTTTTTTTCTTTTTCTTATTCCTATGAGACTCTGAAAGAGAAGAGCTGTCATTTTGTTGTTAAATGCTTATTAATTCTTTTCCTTTATTTACTAGTTTTCCAAAGAAATAGTACCTAGCATCCCACATGTGTCCAGATTGTTGTTTAGGTGTCATTATAAACTCATGGATTTAAATATATTTGATGCGTTTTAATCCATTGCAGTTTTTATCCTTACGGATACTCAGATTGTCCCATGTTTGCCTAAAGACACCTCTTTGAGTGGACACCATCCTAGTCATCTTTCATAGCCTCCTTACTTCTGGTGTGAGAAGATGTTCTAGGCGCTCTTATACACTTCCTGCCAAGGAAGAGTGGCTTGGAATCCGCCACTTCTCCCAGAGGCCTAGTTCCTTTTTGTGAGAAATGGTATTTAGGTCAGCCTGGCCGCTAGGGTTCACTGCTATGATTAGTCATTGTTTCTAGACCTTTTAGGTGAACAGAGTTAGGAATAAGGGTTTGTGTTTCATTTTGGTTTTTTAAGACAAACTATACACACTGATACTTACACCTCCACCTCAAGTTCAGGACTGCTAGATACTTAAGTAACCTCCTCAGTCTCACATCTGCACCTCCTTTCCCACTTACTAAAAATCCCGCTTCTCAGTGCCACCAACAATTCCTCGATTTACTGTACTCCACAATACACACATAAAGCAGTCTCAGGATAATACAATCAGACCACCAATAAAGTGGTTCGTGAAAGTAGTTTAAGACTTTTGTATGTCCTTTTTGTCCTTAAACTATAGCCTATTAAAAATATACAGTCAAGCTGGGCTCAATGGCTCAGCTTGTAATCCCGTGCTTTGGGAGGCTGAGGTGAATGAATTGCCTGAACCTGCGGATTTGAGACCCGCCTGGGCAACTTGGCACGACCTCATCTCTACAATAAATCAAAAATTAGCTGGGCGTGGTAGCGCACTCCTGTAGTTCCAGCTACTTGGAAGGCTGAGGAAGAAGGATCACTGGAGCCCAGCAGGTAGAGGCTGTGGTGGCCGGGAGCATGCCACTGCACTCCAATCTGGGTGACAGAGTGAGACTCCAACTCAAAAAATAAAAAAAATAATAATAAATAAAAATAAATAAAATAAATAAAAATATACAGTCAAATCTCTGGGTCTTAATATCTTTAGGGATAATTAACTTTCTATGTAGTTATGCCACCAATTCAATATCTAGGCTTGTTTAATTTTGCTTTTGCTTTTTTAGGAATTGTTTTAAAAACTATGTAAAACATGTCTATTGTACTAGAGGCTACAAAACAAAAGATATTCAGATAAATCTGTCTTCTGTTCTTGTCCCCTTTACCTTATTAGCTCCCTATTCCTATAGGCAACCATTTGTTTAAAATGTATGGTTTTTCTTCCATCTTTAAAAAAAAGCAAATACATATATATAGTCATACTCTTCCCCTTTAGACAAATAGTATGCCATATACACCTTGCTGTACTTTGCTTTTTTTTTATGTAACTATATGTTAAATCACTCAAGTTGTATATAGTAATACCTAGTTCCCATTTATTTTTAGCTCCATGGTACTTCATTATATGACTATCCCATAGTTGGTTTCCTAGGAATGGACTCTTGAGTTGTTTCCATTTGTGCCTGGCACACACAGTGCTGCAATGAATGGCTTTGCGCATTCTCTTTTCAGATTTTTGCCTGTTTGCCTTCGGAATAGATTCCTAGAAGATTACAGAGTACGAACTTTCTTTTTAAATATTTCATATTAGAGGTCCACTAATTTTTAAAAAACAAGTAGTTTTATTTTTCTGAAGCTATTAGCTAGCTGGAGAAACAGGTAGATACAGGTGTAGGAAGGTAAAGGCCTCAGTGTTTGTGTGGTTGCTCTCCCCACTGAGGATACTTGCAAACCCTGGAGAGACGGGTTGTGTTGGGTCAGGGACAAGAAGCTTAGTAGCCTTTTAGGTGATGCTTTGGGGTATACTATTAGATTCCCAGCTTCGTTATAGTACATTATAGAAGTGGTATAGATAATATTCAGAGGAAAGGATCTAGCCAAAATGTGATCTACATAAGCTTAGGATTCCACAAACTCTTTGAAAAAAAAATGTAGTTATGGAAGGATTTTTTTATGTGTCCTTTCTTGGTTTCCCTTTTAAAGTCACGGGTTGTACTAGTGGTAAGGGCTATTGGGAAACAAAAAAAGGACCTATAACTCCATGTACTTAAAACTAGGACAATTAAAAAGTTGTTTGGGTTTTTTTTAATCTTTTTTACTTGAAAGACAAAGACAGAGTGATGCAGACAGGCATGTTGAGTGAACCATAGGCAGTAAGATGGTAAGTGAGACAAGCCTTGAAAGCCAGGGGGAGTTCTGTTTTGTTTGTTTGTTTCATATAATTTTCTTTATTTTAGTAGCTTTAGGGGTACAGATGATTTTTGCTTACATGGCTGCTTTGTACAGTGGTTAAAAAAAGAAGTCTGCCTTTCAGTTGTCCCCATCAGTCCCATTAGTGCACATTGTACCCTATAGGTAATTCCTCATCTTCCCCCATCCCATCTTCCCCCTTCTGATTCTCCACTGTCCATGATGCCATTATGCCTTTGCAGACCCTAAGCTTAGCTCCCACTTATAAGTTAGAGCATGCGGTATTTGCTTTTTCATTTCTGCATTACTTCATTTAGGATAACGGTCCATTCAAGTTGCTGCAAAATACATTATTTTGTTCTTTCTTATGACTGAGTAGTATTCCATGGTATATAGACATACATACACATGCATATGTATATATGTGGCATATATATACACATATGATATGTATATATACATACATACCACATTTTCATTATCCACTGATCAGTTGATGGACATTTAGGTTGATTCCACCTCTTTACAGTTGTGAATTGTGCTGTGATACACATGCGGGTGCAGGTGTCTTTTTGTATAATGATTTCTCTCCTCCAGGTAGATACCAAGTAGTGGGATTACTGGATCAAATGGTAGATCTACTTTTAATTCTTTGAGAAATCTCCTTACCAATTTCCATAGAGGTTGTACTAATTTATACTCCCACCAGCAGTGTATTAGCATGCCCTTTTTCACCACATCCATACCAACATCTGTCGTTTTCTTATTTTTTAAATAATAATTCTGACTGGTATAAGGTAGTATCTCATTGGGGCTTTAATTTGCGTTTTCCTGAGATTAGCAATATTGAGCTTTTATTCATGTTTTTGGTCATTTGTATATCTTCTTTTGAGAGATGTCTGTTCATGTCTTTTATCCACTTTTTAATGGGATTATTTGTTGTTTTTCTTGCTGATTTGTTTGAACTCTTTGTAGAATCTGGATGTTCTTTGTCAGATGTTTTGCTTGCGAATATTTTCTCCCATTCTGTAAGCTGCCTATTTGCTCTGTTGATTATTTCGTTTGCTGTGCAGAAGCTTTTCAGTTTAAGTTTCACTTTTTAATTTTTATTGTATTTGCTTTTGGGGTCTTAGCCATAAATTCTTTGCCTAGGCCAATATCCAAAAGAGTTTTGCCTAGGTTTTCTTCTAGGGTTTTTATGGTTTCAGGTCTGACATTTAAATCTTTAATCTATCTTCTGTTGATTTGTCTATGGTGAGAGATAGGAATCAAGTTTCATTTTTCTGCATGTAGCTATCCAATTTTCCCAGCACCATTTGTTGAATAGAGGATTCTTTCCCCAATATATACTTTTATCTGCTTGGTCAAAGATCAGTTGTTCATAGGTATTTGGGTTTATTTCTGGATTCTCTGTTCTGTTCCGTTGGTCCATGTATCTGCCCTAGTTCCAGTACCATGCTGATTTGGTTACTGCAGCCTTATAATTTGAAGTCGAGTAACGTGATGCCTCCAAACTTTGTTATTTTTGCTTAGGATTGCCTTGTCTATTCAGGCACTTTTTTGGTTTAAAATGTTTCTTTTGAAGGAAAATACTTGCCTACTAGAGGCACGTGTGATCCAAATACATGCGTACCATGTTTTATTGCACTTTGCTTTATTGTGCTTCACAGATACTGTTTTTTACAAATTGAAGGTTTATGACAACCCTGGGTTGAGTAAGACTATCAGCACCGTGTGCTCCAACAGCAGGTGCTCACTTCATGTTTGTGTGTTACATTTTGGTAATTCTCACTGTATTTCAAACTTTTTCATTATGGTTATATCTGTTTTGGTGTTCTATGATTAGTGATCTTTGATGTTACTTTGTAATTGTTTGGGGGCACTACAAGCCATGCCCATATAAGACTGTGAATTTAGTCAATACTGTGTGTATTCTAACTGCTTCACCAGCTAACTTGTTCCCCGTCTCTCTCCCTCTCCTTGGACCTCCCTATTTGCTGAGACACAACAACGTTGAAATTAGGCCAATAGCCAAAGCAGTAGCCAGTTAGCCAAGTTGTGAATGCAGAGGAAAGGTTCTTGAAGGGAATGAAAATTGCTTTTCCAGTGAACACACAAATGATAAGAAAGTGAAATAGACTTATTGCTGATATGAAGAAAGTTTTAATAGGCGAGATAGAAGACCAAACCAACCACAACATTAAGCCAAAAGACTAATCTAGAGCAAGGCCCTAACTCTCTTCAGTTGTGAGGAAGCTGCAAAAGAAGTTTGAAGCTAGCAGAGGTTGATTCATGAGGTTTAAGGAAAAAAGCCATCTCCATAGCATAAAAGCACAAGGTGACAAAGCAAGTACTGATGGAGAAGCTATGGCTACAAGTTATCCGGAAGATCTAGCTAAAATAGTTGGTGAAGGAGGCTGCACCAGACAACAGGCTTTCAAGATAGATGGAACAACCTTCCACCAGAGGAAGTTGCTGTCTAGGACTTTCATAGCCAAAAAGGAGAAATCAATGCCTGCCTTCCAAGTTTCAAAGGACAGGCTGACTCTCTTGTTTTAGGGGCTAATGCCTTCCAGTGACTTTAAGTTGAAGCCAATTTAGTTGAAGCTTATCTACAATTCTGAAAATCCTAGGACCCTCAAGAATTATGCTGTCTACTCTGCCTGTGCCCTAGAAATGGAACAACAAAGTCTGGATGGCAGCACATCTATTTACAGCATGGTTTACCAGATATTTTAAGCCCACTGCTCAGACCTACTCCTCAAAAAAAAAGATTCCTTTCAAGATATTACTGCTATTGGCAGTGCATCTGGTCATCAAGAGCTCTGGTGGAGATGGACAAGGAGATGAATGTTGTTTTCATGCCTGCTAACACCACATTCATTCTGAAGCCCATGCATCAAGTAGTAATTTTGACTTTCAAGTCTTATTATTTAAGAAATACGTTTTGTAAGGCTGTAGCTGCCATAGATATTAATTCCTGGACCTAGGCAAAGTCAGTTGATAACCTTCCGGAAATGATTCACCTTTCTAGATGCCATTAAAAACTTTCATGATTCATGGAAGAAGGTCAAATATTGACATTAACAGAAGTTTAAAAGAAGCTGATTCAAGCCCTCATGAATGATTTTGAAGGGTTCCAGACTTCAGTGGAGGAAGTATTTGCAGATGAGGCAAAAATAACAAGAGAACTAAAATTAGAAGTCAAGTCTGAAGCTGTGCCTGGTTGCTGCAATCTCATGATAAAACTTTAACACATCAGTAGTTGCTTCTTATGGATGAGCTGAGAAAGTGACTTCTTAAAATGGAATCTATTCCTAGTGAAGATGCTGTGAACATTGTTGGAATGACAACAAAGAATTTAGAATAAACTTAGTGGATGAAGCAGTGGCAGAATTTGAGAGAATTGACTCCAATTTTGAGAGAAATTCTATTATGGGTTAAATGCTATCAAACAGCATCACATGCTATAGAGAACTCTGTCATGAAAAGAAGAGTTGGGCCGGGCTTGGTGGCTCACCCTGTAATCCCGCACCTTTGGGAGGCTGAGGTGAGTAGATTGCCTGAGCCTGCGGGTTCAAGACCCGCCTGGGCAACTTGGCGAGCCTCATCTCTACAATAAATCAAAAATTAGCCGGGCATGGTATCGCATGCCTGTAGTTCCAGCTACTTGGAAGGCTGAGGCGGAAGGATCTCCAGAGCCCAGCAGGTCGAGGCTGCAGTGGCCAGGAGTAGCCACTGCGCTCCAGTCTGGGTGAGACTCCAACTCAAAAAAAAAAAAAAAGAGAGAGAAAAGAAAAGAAGAGTCGATCAAGTAGCAAACTTTATTGCTGTCTTATTTTAAGAAATTGCCACAGCCACCCCAACTTTCATCAACCACCACCCTGATCAGTCAGCTGCCATCAGCATCAAAGCAAGACCCTCCATCAGCAAAAAGTCGACAGCTCACCCGAGGCTCAGATGATTGGTAGCATTTTTTAGCAATAAAGTATTTTTAGGTTTTTTTAGATATAGTACTTTTACACACTTCATAGACTAAGGCATAATATAAATATAACTTTAAAAGTTCATATGACTTACTTTATTGTGTTACATGCTTCACAGTAGTGGTCTAGAACTGAACTGGCAATATCTCTAAGGTGTGCCTGTACTTCAGAGGAGTAGATGTGTTACCAACAAATCAGTTTAAAAATAAGTTTCAGCCGAGTATGGTGACTCACACCTGTAATTCCAGCTTGTAAGGAGCCTGAGGCAGGAGAATCACTTGAGCCCCAGGAGTTTGAGACTAGCCTAGCAACATAGCGAGACCTTGTCTCTACAAAAAATCCAAAAAATAAACTGGTTGTGGTGGTACATGCCTGCGTCCCAGCTACTCAGGAAGGATCTCCTGAGGCCAGGAGGTTGAAGCTACAGTGAACTGCTCGTGCCACTGCACTCCAGCCTAGGCAACAGAATGAGACCCTGTCTCAAAAAAAAAAATCAGTTTTATGAGTCAGACTGTTTAAACTCACCAGGTATGTTTCTATTATAAACAAAACACATATGTCATTATAAAATTCTTTATTTACCTATATATTTTGTAAGTTTGGATTTTTCTATGTTGTGGTTTTTTTTCATTAATATACTTGTAAGAGTTTTGTGCTTCCTGATTGCTTTTTCTTCTCAGAGTACTCCATAGTATATTAATCCATACCACACTAATCTACACCTCTGTGGCTTTGACACTCTGTAGGCTTCTGGTGACACAATAGATGATTCATTTAAAGATGAGTGCATATGATTATTATGCCTAATATTTTGAAAAACTCATGGTGGGTAGAGGCAGCAAAAAGTAATGTCTATTTAGTCACAATGGTAAATGGCATACAATCAGATGAATCTATTCTTTGAACAGGGTGGATTAGCCCTGAAATCTAGTTTCTTAAGAAAACAGAGCCAGTATCCTTTTTCTTGGTTATATTACACAATACCAAATGTTCATTTTTAAATAGGTTTTTATATTGTACCTCCTAACCTAATTATTATTTTCAGCCAGTCAGGCAAAAATAGAAAGCAATAGTTAGTTTTTATGTAATCCCATTTGTTTATTTTTATTGCCTATGCTTATGAGGTCTTACTCGTAAAATGTTTTCCTAGACTAGTGTCCTGAAGCATTTTCCCTATTTTCTTCTAGTTGCTTTATAGTTTCAGGTCTTATATTTTGGTCTTCAGTCCATTTTGAGTTGATTTTTATATAGGGTGAGAGGTGGAGTTCTAGTTTCATTCTTCCATGTATGGATATCCAGTTTTCCCAGCATCATTTATTACAGAAATTCTCCTTTCCCAAATGAATGTTCTTGGCACTTTGTCAAAAATCAGTTGACTATAGATGTATCAGTTAATGTATAGGTTCTCAATTTTATTCCATTGGTCTGTGTGTCTGTTTTTATGCCAGTGCCAAGTTGTTTTGGTTACTGCAGCTTCATAGTGTATTTTGAAGGCTAATAGTATGATGCCTCCAGATTTGTTCTTTTTCCTCAGGATTGCTTTGACTATTCAGGGCCTTTTATAGTTTTACACGAATTTTAGGATTATTTTTGTGTGCGTATTTCTATGAAGAATGTCATTGGTATTTTGATAGAGATTACATTGAATCTGTAGATCACTTTGAGTAGTAAGTAGTCATCTTTTTCAGTTACAAAGAAATACTTATAAAAATAGTTGGCATGCACTAAGCACTTAATAAGTATTTGATGAAGAAATATTTGTTTTTCAAAATACTGAATAAGCATTTCAAATAAAATGAATGAATGTTTTGGGACTATTTCTCCTCTGAGCTCTACCCTTTGTTAATTCAAATCCTAAATCAAAGATCTTTGTGGTAACAAATAGATTAATTTTCAATTTAATTCATTTTTTTCCCCCAGAGAGACTGGCTTACAAAATTTTCCTCATATTGAGGTGGTTCGGAAAAAAGGAGAGAGAAGAAAATTGCTTGGGCACACATGTAAGGAATGTGAAATTGTGAGTATTAATGGAGACAGTGTTCGGTTGTTTGGTTTTTTTAAAGCATGACTTTATAGATCATAAATGCATGATTTAAAAATCACAGATACAGATCATGTTTGTTTTAGAAACGTCAGAGCCAGGAATAACAGACGGAATAAAGAATAAGAGATATAAGTAGATGAAAATGAAAGTCCTCAGTTTCTTTTAGATTAAGTGAATCTGGAGCATAAACCCTAGTTTTGTAGTTTGTTTATTTGTTTGTTTTTTGAAGGCGAAAGAACTTTTATTTTTTCATCATTTTGGAGACTGTTGACTCCTCTTTTATTTATGTTTTTCCAATAATGAAGTAAACTTATTAAATCCATAGAAGCATTCTATTAAAGAGTTAAAAGGAAAAAAAAGCAAACATTTGAACTACCTCAGATGAGCCTACTTCATCCATAGTTCGCAATGGAAACCTGCATACAGAAGGTTAAACATATTCCAAGCTTGGGAGCCAGACACTGATACCGAAATACAGCCCTAGAGTAAGCCCTGATGCTTATGACCAGTTTAAGACACTCGTGCCATTTTTCTTTTCCGTATTTGTTCTCATTCATTTTACCCTCTTACTTTATGTTATAGCAAGGCTTCTATACATATATTATTTGGGGACAACTGGAATTTCAATAGGAGTCTTTTCTTATAACATTAATTTCACCAGCATGCTCAAGAAATTAGGTATCCTCATAACCATTTTCTCTTTTTTTTTATTTTTCTCTGAGTTGGAGTCTCACTCTGTCGCCCAGACTGGAGGGCAGTGGCCACTCCTGGCCACTGCAGCCTCGACCTGCTGGGCTCTGGCGATCCTTCCACCTCAGCCTTCCGAGTAGCTGGAACTACAGGCGTGCGTTACCATGCCTGGCTAATTTTTGATTTATTGTAGAGATGAGGTCTCACCAAGTTGCCCAGGCAGGTCTCGAACCCACGGGCTCAGGCAGTCCACTCATCTCAGCCTCCCAAAGGTGCGGGATTACAGGCTGAGCCACCGAGCCCAGCTGCCATTTTCTCTTTTTAATGATTGGTACCACCATAAGCTCTGGTTTGTTTTCTTTTTCTTTTTTCCTCAAACATTTTCTTCTTAAATGAGATGTAATGAGCAGCTTTGCTTTATCCTTAGAACACTTAGGTCTTCCTTTTTTCCTGGCTTGGAGTTGAAGTAGATAATCCAGACGTCCCTGAGTATTTGTGGGGAATTGGTCCCAGGACCTACTGCAGATACCAAAATCCACATATGTTCAAGTTTCTGATATGAAATGGTGTGGCATTTGCATGTAATTGATGCTCATTCTCTCATATACTTTAAATTAGCTATACATCACTTATAATACCTAATACAATGTAAATGCTTTGTAAACAGTTGTTCCACTGTATTGTTTAGGGAATAATGACAAGAAAAAAGTCTGTACATGTTCAGAACAAATGTACTTTTTTCCCAAATATTGTATATTCATGGTTGGTTGAATCCATGGATGCAGAACCCATGGATATGGAGGGCAGACTGTACTAATTGTTCTATGACTAAGAGATCCTAGGCAAGTTCTCAATTTTTTTGAAACATACTATTTTTATTTCTTCCCTTGCTGTCCATTAGCTATCAGATGCCTGCCTCCAGCAATTTACTTCCCCTTTTATATTTTTTAAACAACCATGGGCTAGAAAATTTGATAACCAAGCACATTTAAATTACAAGTGAAAGTATAAATAGATTGCAAAATGCAGGTAAGCATTTGGTGAGAACATGCTCAGACACTAATAGTGGGAAAATAAATTGGGATCACTCCTTTGAAAAGCGGTTTGACAATACAAGCAAAACCACCTAGGTGATGAGCTTTCATAACACAAAGTGAATATACCATGATTTATTAACCAAAAAAATAGGGTGTACTCTAAGTAAATCTCCAGTTTCTAGCTATCATCATAACTCCATGATCTAGAATTAATTCAGCTAGCTAGAAGAGAATCTTGTGCTAGAAGCCCTACTAAGTTGCTTTCCTTTTCAGGAATCATTTCTTGTGCTATCTGTTGTCCATTCTCTGAAAACTCTCGTTTCACACATTTTAGTTTCTTCTAGTTATTTAAGGTAGGAAGATGAATCTGTTCTCAGATTCTGTCACCATCAGAATTGAAAGTGCCAGTCCTGTGTGCTTTAACACCATCGATATGTTTTCAGTTCCTGAATGTATCTATTTCATTGGCTAGTCCGCATGTGGAATGTGGAATGCCCATGTTGGATGCGTGGTAGTTATCAGATTGCACATGTCCAAAAGCAAACATACAATTTCTGCCTTCAATTCTTAGACCTCGCCACTGAGTCTCCTATATGTCCTTGTAGTTATCTGCTAGTTTTTTCAGATCTTCATAACTATCTGTCAACAAATCCCACTGATTTTACCTTCAAAATATATCCCATTCCCATCTGCTTATTGTCTCCACTACTAATGCCCCGGACCAAGGCACCATTTTATCTTGTCTAGACTATTTTAATAACTTCTAAATATTTTCCTTGTCTTTTTATCATGTGTGTATATACCCTATACACTTATCTTTTTAATGCAGTTGTATGTTCACAGCAAAACTGAGCAGAAAGTACAGAGGGGTCCCCTATGCCTCTGTCCCACTTCTCTTTTCATTCTTGTCTTTTCACAGTGTACTTTTAACAAAGCAATGAATGGTCTTTTTTTCTCTAATGATCTTTTTAGAGTAAAAGCTCAATCATGTTACTCCTCTACTAAAACCCTTCGTTGTCTTCCCTTCTCACTAAGCAAGAGAGTCCAGAGTCCTGGCCAAGTACAGTAAACCCTGGCACCCGCTTCCTCTCTGCCTTCACATCCCACCACGCCCTACTTGCTCCCTGAGTTATAGCTGCGCTAGCCTACTGTTTTTTGAGGGTATTTTAATTTGGTGGCAGTGCTTTTTTCCGATAAATCATGATTCTCTAAGGTTATTCCATCCCAAGGCAACAAAAACTTATACTTAGGGCAATGAGAATGATGAAAAAGATACCAAAAAACAATTGCTTCAGATATTTTTTTATTATTATTTTTTAAGTTGGAGTCTCACTCTGTCTCCAGACTGGAGTACAGTGGCCGCTCCCGGCCACCACAGCCTCGACCTGCTGGGCTCCGGCAATCCTTCCACCTCAGCCTTCCAAGTAGCCGGAATTACAGGCATGCGCTACCACGCCCGGCTGATTTTTTTATTTATTGTAGAGATGAGGTCTCGCCAAGTTGTCCAGGCGGGTCTCGAACCTACGGGCTCAGGCAATCCACTCACCTCAGCCTCCCAAAGGCGTGGGATTACAGGCTGAGCCACCGAGCCCAGCTTCAGAGATTTTTTGGAGCCTTTAATGTAGATAGAATACAAATATATTTAAAGAATTTACTTCAAACAAATTCTAGTCTGAAATTTGTCATTTTTAATAGCTGATACCTTTGGCAAATTATCACTTTAATTTTTAGTTTCTCAAGTGTAAAATGAAGGATTTGGTTGCATTATGTGATTCTATCATTTGTGTTCTATTAAACTGTAAGCTACTGCTTTGGTTTTTTAGTTGTAGAGCTTGAAGGCCTATACAATTTTTACATAGAAGTTTTGTCCTTGTTTCAATGAAATTCAAGTTCTTTATGACCACATTTGCAAAAAGTAGCATGCTTTTGACCCTAATTGAAAAATATAAGCCGGGTGGCTCAGCCTGTAATCCCGCACCTTTGGGAGGCTGAGGTGAGTGGATTGCCTGAGCCCGTGGGTTCGAGACCTGCCTGGGCAACTTGGCGAGACCTCATCTCTACAATAAATAAATTTTAAAAATCAGCTGGGCGTGGTAGCGCGCGCCTGTAGTTCCAGCTACTTGGAAGGCTGAGGCGGAAGGATCGCTGGAGCCCAGCAGGTCAAGGCTGTGGTGACCGGGAGCGGCCACTGCACTCCAGTCTGGGCGACAGAGTGAGACTCCAACTCAAAAAAAGAAAAAAGAAAAATACAGCTTAACAGAGGAAGTCAACAAAACCTATAATATTTAAATCTAAATTGTTATTTTTTAAAACCGTGGAGATAGAAAAATTACTTTGAAACATACTTGTTATATTCAAATAACAGTTGAGAAGCATGTAGCCCTCTGAATTTTTATCACTGGTCTAGCAAAGATGAGGAGTTTGAACCAGTATATAAGTCAACTATGTCACTAAGCACACTGTAAGGTTCAGCTGGCATTTTTTTTTTTCCAGCAAGACTGTTGATGAAGGAAGCCATAATATTGATTTACATTGTAGTACAAGCTTTTTTTCTCATCAGTAAAGCAAACACTTCATAGATCAGCATTGGCACTGACTACTTTTAGCAAGTAGTTAATACTGTTTGTAAGTATTAACTACTAATATTATCATTAGTATTATTTTCTAGAATGCTGAATATTTTAGTAAGTGGCCTTTTTTAGCTTCTAGTTTATAATCAATAAGTATAACACTCAATTTATTATTCCTAAGCGGAAAAGCTTACCAGTTTTTATTATTAGTATTATGCAGATATGCCAGCAGAAGAAAGAGAAAAGAAGTTGGCTTCCTGCTCGAGACATCGATTTCGCTACATTCCACCCAACACACCAGAGAATTTTTGGGAAGTTGGATTTCCTTCCACTCAGACTTGTATGGAAAGAGGTAAGAGTGTCAGTTACAACATTTTAGAGTTCATTTTTAAATATATACTGTATATCCCAAACCCGAGCATTGCCTTTTCTGCATAGTTCTCTTTACCTTCTGCTGCAGGTTGAGTGCTAGTTCATGACATAAGAACATTTCTGAAGATACAAGGCTTACCTTCAGCCCTTCTAGTAATTTAATTGGGATTAGAAATTGTTGATAATCACTTTAGCTTGGTTGTGTGTGTATTATTCTGGTTTATTATTCAAATTTAAGAAAGCAGTTTGGGTCAGGCTTGGTAGCTCAGCCTGTAATCCCAGCACTTTGGGAGGCCGAGGTGAGTAGATTGCCTGAGCCCACAGGTTCGAGACTAGCCTGGGCAACTTGGTAAGACCTCGTCTCTACAATAAATAAAAAATTACAGCACCTGTAGTTCTGGCTACTTGAAAGGCTGAGGTGGAAGGATCGCCGGAACCCAGCAGGTTGATGCTAGGGTGGCTGTGAGTGTGCCACCACACTCCAGCCTAGATGACAGAGTGAGACTCCAACTCAAAAAAAAAAAAGCGATTTGTCTCTTTTATTCTAGTATCAAAATGACTTTTAATAAAATAAATAACTTTACAGAAGTTACCAGCAAAGTTATATTGTTAAAAAGACAGCATATTTTTATTTATTTGAGTCGGGGTCTCACTCTGTCACCCAAGCTGGAGTGCAGTGGCACCATTACAACTCACCACAGCCTCGGCCTTCTAGGTTCAGGCCATCTCTCTGCCTTAGCCTCCTAAGTAGGTAGGACTACAGGTGCATGCTACTGCGCCTGGCTAAATTTTTTATTTTGGTTAGTGGTGAGGTCTCACTATGTTGCCCAGGATGTTCTTGAACTTCTGGGCTCAAGCAATCCTTCCACCTCAGCCTCCCAAAGTGCTGGAATTGCAGGTGTAAACCACTGTACCCAGCCTGATAGCATCCTTTTAAATTGACTACTGTGAATTTTGGATTTTAAAACCTCACTTATCCCAAATTTTAAAAAATGTTTTTAATGTTTGTCAGATTGTTGACATGCAACTAGCTCTTTCACACTTATATTTAATGTGATTTGAGAATATATGCAGCTTTAAAGCTGTTAACAGAAGACCACATGTAGTGATTTTTGTTCTCATTATCCTATCAGTATTACCACTCATCAGAAACATAATGCTAAAAAATGTGGATACAAACTTTCATGGTTTTATATAAATACCAACGTTAGTTAGGTACTGTGCTTGGGATATGACTATCAATCTGGACATTCCCAATATCAGGGCAGTATACTCACTCCTAGTCACTGGACTTTATCGTAACCATTAGCTGAAATGAAAAGGAATGAAAGGCTGTAGGGTCCTTAGCCCTAAAAGAGCTATTTAGCTAAGCAGTTTCTATCTCACAATCCTTTGCTATGAAACCATTATTCCAGGGGAGCTTATAAATGCTTTTAGTACCTAGACTTTATGAAACGACCTCTTTAATTCAAGATTTTACTTCTTGCATTATTGTATTCTTACACTTATTTTGGGGGGGACACATACACTTCAAAGCTCATTGTTATTAAAAGAATTATTGGTAAATTCAATTGGACATTCTTTTTAATAAGAGAATGTACTCTTATGGTTTGGTTTTGTTTCATTTTGTTTGAGTCGGGTCTCACTGTCACCCAGGCTGAAGTGCAGTGGCAGCATCACGGCTCACCACAGCCTCAACCTCCTGAGCTCAGGTGATCCTTCCGCCTCAGCCTCCTGAGTAGCTGGAACTATAGGCACACATCACCATGCCCAGCTAATTCTTTTTTTTTTTTTTCTTTTGTATAGACAGGGTCTCGCTATGTTGTCTAGGCTAGTCTCAAACTCCTGGTCTAAAGCGATCCTCCCGCCTCAGCCTCCCAAAGTGCTGGGATAACAGATGTGTGCCACCTTGCCAACCTTTTATGTTTTATGAAGAATTTTAATTCAAAATCATCCTAAAATTAGGGATAAATATTTATATTAAATATGTACAATTTATTACGTACCAAGAATACCTTAATGAAGCTACTTAGAAAAAGGCTGTATGAGACAAAGTATATTAGCTAAGCAGGGACTTATCTAAACTCTTCAGTATTTTTTGCTGTTTTCTCCATGGTCTGAAACTACCCAGTTACAGGCTAAGTCTTATGGCTTAAAATACTGAGTTATAGGTAGGCACAGTGGCTCATGCCTACAATTCCAACACGTTAGGAGGCCAAACTAACAGGATTACTTGAGCCCAGGAGTTCCGAGACCAGGCTGGGTGACAGTGCAAGACCTTGTCAAAACAAAAAAAATTTTTAATTAGCTGGGCAGGCCAGGCTCAGTGGTTCAGTCTGTAATCCCAGCGCTTTGGGAGACTGAGGTGAGTGGATTGCCTGAGTCCGTGGGTTTGAGACCAGCCCCAGCAACTTGGCGAAACCTTTTCTCTACAATAAATCAAAAATTAGCCAGGCGTGGTAGCACATGCCTGTAGTTCCAACTACTTGGAAGACTGAGACAGAAGAATCACAGGAGTTCAGCAGGTTGATGATGGGGCGACCATGAGCATGCCACTGCATTCCAGCCTGAGCGACAGAGTGAGACTCTGATTCTAAAATAAAATAAAATTAGCTGGGCATAGTGGTGCACACCTATAGTCCCAGCTGCCCTGGATATTGAGGCAGAAGGATCACCTGACCCCAGGAGGTTGAGGCTGCAGTGGACTCTGATTATATCATTATACTTCAGCCTGGGCAGCAGAGTGAGTCCCTGACTCAATAAATGAATAACTTCAATTCAAGATTTTATGAAAATGTGATGTGTTCTGAGATGTGACTGCAAAATCTAGTAGTGCCCAGAATCTTTATAATTTGACTCTGGGCTCATGACATTTAATTAATTTGTAGCTTTCGGTTCTTAGATCTCTATTTGTAAGTTATAGGTAAACATCTAAAATTTTTACCCACAAGAATATTATAATAGCATTGAATAAACATCAAATGATAAAATTACCACCCAGACCCTCAGTTCAGCCTTGCCCTCTTATAGCGCCTTTTCTCAATTAGAGTTCTCATGATCCAGCTGTATGACCCACTGATGGAGAGGGCCCTTCCTCACTTTTAGAGAAGCTCCAGATGTTTATAAGATAGTTTTTCCAAAAGATGCAAAGTTTCTGACAACTCTCACCATATTTCTGTCTTCCCCATTAATAAACCAGATTAAGTCCCCTGTGACATACTATCTCTCTGCCTGGTCATCAAATAGAACCAGACAGTCTGGAGAGAGCCCATGTTTGCACCCCTCATATGGCCTAGGGGTACAGCAGAGCAGTCTTTCCCTGGAGTTACATGATTGTGAGACACCTCAGGAGATCTAATAATCTGAAGAGTAGAGGTATGTCATCTAATGATATTAGCTACTGTAAAAGTCTTTGATAAGCCCCTGAAATTTATCGTAATAGTAGAGTCCGTGTTTTAAGTTTTCCTCATGAACTACCTGCAGGAGGCAGAGTAGGCAAATATTTAAGCGCGCTGGTTCTGGAATTAGAGCTTGGCAGGGTCCAGCTTTTCCACTTCCTAGCTTTGTGAACTTGAGTGAGTTATTTTAACTTTCCCGGATCTCTCTCACCTTATCTGTAAAATAGGTATAATGGAAACTACTGCAAAAGCATGTGAGAGTTATCTGAGATAATGTATACAAAGCATTTGATAAATGTTTGCTGCTATTATTGTTAGTAAAAATGAGGAAACTGATGCTGAGTTGCTGAGTAGTGAAATCATTCATCAAAATCACACAGCTAAGAGTCAGAAGAATTATGCAAACTTTCAGGCATTAAATAAGGTAAATGTTTACTGGATGTATGCAAAAAGAAATATATGTTGCAGATACAGTCTTCTCAATTTATCATTTGTTTTTAAGGTTACATTAAGGAAGATCTTGAACCTTGTCCTCGCCCAAAAAGACGTCAGCCTTATAACGCCATATTTTCTCCAAAAGGCAAGGAACAGAAGACATAGATGTTGAAGCAGAAAGAGGAGAGAGGACAGATATTTTTCTTAGTTATTTATAGTTGAAGTTGGTATTAAACACGTATTTTTTTTGATCATCTGTAAATTGATTTATAAATCAGTTTTCTATTGAAAATATTTCTAAATGGCCTTTATGCACCACACAAATAACTATTTAAGATGCGGGTGTGTTTGTGATATGTTCTTGCTTCTGCACCTTTAAAACATTAAGGTGCTTTCATTTTGCACTCTAACTTAAGAGTTGTTTATTGACTTCATGTGCTAATACCTAATACAGTTGTGAAAATACATTAGTTGTGTTCTGTGATTTTTGCCTTCAGATCTTTTATCTTTATTCCACCTTCCCTTGGTGTTTACGTTCAACAGTGATTTCATGTTTATCATTACAGATGTATAATCGCTTACCCAGCTGTTCTTCTGTAGGTCATACCAGTGTCTGGCATTTAAGTTACTGTTTTTTTAAAAGAAAGACTAAATTTTAATTGTTCTTTTAACTCTCTAGCTTCTTACTTTTGTTGAATTGAAATGAGGTACTACACTGTCATAAGGTTTTTTCAAAGTGACCAAAAACAGCAGTCCTTTTTCCTTTTCCATATACTATAAATTAGCATTATCCCTCAGATCATAAATTTATAAATCTTCACATGTTTTCTTTTCATCATACTTTTTTTTTTTCTGGTGCAATTTTCGAATTGAATTTGAGTTCTCTATGTGTTCCAGTTCATATATTATTGCTCTGGATTGACAAATGTTGTGAGCTTCCAATTTGGCCTCAACATAGATATTCTCTATGTAGCAACTTTCTGTGTATGATGTATGAGTCATTAAGATGGCTGACCACATCTGCGTCACTTTTTCTAGTGGCATTTTGTTTTTCAGCATCTTTTTGTATATTTCTTTATTCCATATCTTGACAGTATTACGTAAGCAGTAATATAAAGAGATGCTGAATGGAATGGCTCCAAGAATCGAAGTACCACGAGCGTGTAGCCTTTCCCTCTCCAAGGGCCTTAAGTCTTCTGGCTTAGTCTCGTCTTCCTTTTGATCAAGGTTCTCATGTGAACAAATGGCGTCAGTCTGTATACTCACAAACAGGTTAGGAAAAATAACATAAATTGATTATTTCCTCTGTGTCAGACCACTGATGCACATTGCTTGACTCTGAATAGGATTCTATGTTTTTTACAATCCTGTCATAGCTTCTATTCAGCACTTTCTTTCCCTTCCCAAATTGTTTATTGTGTGTTTGATTTTTTTGTTCTCTACTAATAGTCAACTGATCCTCCATAATCTCCCAAATAATAGCAACCATGTGTTGATCACTCACTGTATGTCAGGAACTGTTATGCCTTTCACATAGGTGCTTCTCTTTCAATCTTCAGATAATCCTATGAATTTACATATCACTTAATCAGAATGTCAAGCTGAAAAAAAAAAATGGATCCCAAAACAGCAGATTAAACATCAAATAACTGGCTTGATTTTTCTCAACTTAAAACGTCTAAAGTCAGCAGACCACGGCCGCTAGTACAGTGCCATAATGTCCTCAGGGATCAGATCGCTCCTAGTTTTCTGCTCTGCAATGCTTTATATTTGATGTTCATCCTTGTCTCTGCAAAATAGCTACACCACCTCTAGCATCATGTCTATGTTCTTTTTTTTTTTTTATAACATTGTTTATTTTTGAGTCGGGGCTCTCACCCTGTCACCCAGGCTGGAGTACAGCAGCACAATCATGGCTCACCACAGCATCAACCTCCAGGGTCTAGGCGATCCTCCTGCCTCAGCCTCCTGAGTAGCTGGGACTACAGGTACGCACCATCACACCTGGCTAAGTGTTTTTTTTACTTTTTTGTAGAGATATCTTGCTATGTTGCTCAGGCTGGTCTCAAACTCCTGGGCTCCAGTGATCCTCCTTCCTTGGCCTCCCAAAGTGCTGAGATTACAGGCATGAGCCACAAAGCCCAGCAATGTTGGGTTTTTGTGCCTTTAGCTAACAGGTTAATTTTGATTTTTTTCTTCCCCATACTTCCGCGACAATATAGCTTTTCCCCCCCAAGCTCTCAAATATTTCATTAGGCCTCAGAAAACCGGTGAGGCTCTAACCAGTGCTTCTCAAACTATCTGTAGGAAAGACTGGTTGTTTTTGACACCCCAATCCACTGCAGTCCAATATTTTTATAAAACACGATAAAAATGTAAACTATGAATGTTTTAAAAGCCCACCAATCACACAATCACACACTTGGATGTGGTGACGTCAAATTGCTCTATAAATTCCTGAAGACTTAGTCTCCATTTCTGTACTTATCTCTGCCTGGACGTGCCAACACCTGTCTGGAACCGCACTCGGAGCAGCTGGGGCCATAGACACTGAGCTTAAGACGCCTGAGGGATAAGTCCCCTTCCGGCGTGATGGGGGGTGAACTGATCTACAACAAGGGAACACTGAGAGCCTGGGACCAATCGGGATTTCTGGCCCCCTGGCAATGGCCCGTGAGGTCATGAAGACCCAAGAATTCTGTCGGAGGCGTGGCCCGCCTCTGTGACGTCACAGGAGGGCGTGTCCACCACTCCAAAAGGGGCGGGTTAAAAGCTGCAGGCCCTCGCTTGGCTTTTGGAGGTGAGGCGGTGGCGGGTGAGGGTGAGGACGGGTGAAGGACTTACAGATTTGAAGAAGCCCACACAACACACGGCCCTGTCAAACACCCCCAGGCCCAGCACGTGTAAGGTGGAGAGGGAAACTGAGTCCCAGATGCGCACATGGGGTGGTAGCAGCTTCCCCTATTGACTAAACTCAGTCAATATGACATCACTGCATCAAGTGTGTGATTGGTGGACTTTAAAAAAAAAATCAATTTGTGGAATGCATAACCAGGCATTGTGACTGTGGCCTGCTTTGGGTGGTTAAAAGCTGCAGCTGTGAGCCCCCTCCTCCCCACCGAGTCCTGTCCCTCTGTCCCCTCTCTCCTCAGCCTGGCCGTCCACTAATGTCTATGTTCTAAGCAAGAAGAAAGGAAAAGAGAAAAAGCACATGCACTTTGTTTTTGTCCTTTTAAAAAGGTTTCCAGCCGGCCTCGGTGGCTCAGCCTGTAATCCCGTGCTTTGGGAGGCTGAGGTGAGTGGATTGCCTGAGTCCGCGGATTCGAGACCCGCCTGGGCAACTTGGCAAGACCTCATCTCTACAATACATTTAAAAAAAATCAGCCGGGCGTGGTAGCGCGCGCCTGTAGTTCCAGCTACTGGGAAGGCGGAGGCGGAAGGATCGCCGGAGCCCAGC